CAAACAAAATGACGATCGGCGGCGTCTGGCTTGACTAGTTAGTCATACAGTTTTTAGTCTGCCAGCCAGTATGCAAAGATTAAAATACTTAACAGAGTCTGGTTTTGGCGGCATTAATTGATGGCGTTTATTTATAAATCATCTCATGAATATGCACATTCCATACAGGGTAAAATAATATATATATATGTAGGTTCCGTTTTAACGTAGATCTAAAAAGGTAGAGGTAGAGGGTAAATCAACTATCGTACGATACTCTCTACTGGTCTACTAATCAAACTGTTTTCAATGTGTTAATTAACTCGCTGATGCAAAAAGGTTTTTGAAAAAGTTTCTGGAAGCTAACTTATTTCGCATCTATTAAGCACCAAACACATTCCAAAGCATATCTATTTCTCATAAAAGTCAATAATTAAAGCACAAAAATGTCAATAGAACCTTTAAACTGTACAAATTAAACAACAATAAGGGCACATTATGTGCTAAGTAATAAATAATAGCCTTGACTTACGTGCAAAAATGCTCTACGCTGTGTAAATAATTTCGATATCGTTTTGTGTTTTCAAAATAAGTTGCAAAAAACAAAAGTCAAAGAGGGAGGCTAAACAGACTTCGATTTAAATCCCCATATTCTCAACGGCTCGAGAACTCGCCACGTGGCCAGTTTCAAGTTGCAATCGGTCGGCGCGAAGGAACATAGCCTCGGTGGCGCAGTTGGCAGCGCGTAAGTCTCATAATCTTAAGGTCGTGAGTTCGAGCCTCACCCGGGGCATGTACATTTTTTGGTTTTTTTTTCTATGTTCCTTATTCTTTTAACTTTAATATAAAATATTTCTAAGTCAAGAAACTAATTGAGATAATATTAAGAGATTATTATTGAGATATATATTACATCTTATATATAAATGGAATTGGTTTCAGTGATTCTATTTTGTAATATGACTTCTCTCTATTTGTTATTATTTGTAACAACATTATTTGTTTGGCTTAAATATTTTCACCTGGACCAAGCGCGGCTTAATTTATTCTTTATTTATTTGGCAGTTTGTTTTTAAATTTATTTTATTCAAATATTTTGACTGTGTGCAAAGCATTTTAGAATTCCTTAATCATATATTGCGAAATGTCATAAATGTGACATAAAATTACACTGGCGTGTGGCCTGGATTATTACGATTACAAAATGCTATCCCGTAATTCAGTTACAGTTAACGTTAACTGGGTAATAACAGGGCCATTACGGCTGACATTAGCTTCTTCCAGCTAGCAACGAGATCGAGACAAAGCAAATATAACTCGTCCACGGGCGTTGTAATGATCAGATCAGAGCTAACAGACCCGGACTGACTGAGTCCCGGAATGATGTCAATATTTGCCCAAAAGCCCACACCCACGCCTGCTGAATGTCACGCGGCTGGCAGTGGGTTAAGGCCGTTCTAACTAGATTTTTTGCCATAGGTCGGATTTTTTAGAACAGAATGTACTTATTGATTCCAAAAAGTTTTTAAGAAAATACACAAAATTCCTATATATATTTAAAGAAAACATTTTTCGGAAAAAACGATAAGTAATTTAGGTATGAAGTTGACAAAGACTTTTTTCCAACTTAGTTCCAAATTTCGAGGAACTGCCTTGTATAGGATTAGATTTCAAAGCCTCGACTTTTCCTTTCATATGACACATTTTTGCACCTGTCCGAGTCGCATGTCTTATGTAAAGCGTGCCAAAAAAAAAGCCGAAGCAAGGTCAGCAAGATCAGGTTGGCTCAGAAAATCAAAAGCAAATACTGATAAAAAATAAGAAAAACGCAGACAGAAGACAAATGCATTCGGCCTGATGAAAAAAGATGAAAAACAAGTACCATTTTTAGGGCGTATGGAAAATTTAATGGAAAATTACCAGGGGCATTCAATCACAGCAAACGGCAGGAGTGCAGAGATTTCAAAAAAAAATTCCTCTGAAACAAAAACGAAAATCAAAATTTTCCATTCATCGACTGCAAGTGATCTTTAAATGGTGTGAGCGAGTGAGAAAGTGCCACAACCGCAGCCTCTGCCTCAGCCTCAGACAACCGAATACTTCTCTTATTTTTACCCCTCTGAGATCTTTGGTGATTGCCATAAATTTCAAGTTTGCACCGTATTCGACTCGTTCTCTGATCTCTGCACATGTGATCGGTCATGTACGTATGGTATCGTATATATATACAGTATCTGAATGTGCCAGATATTGCCCACTCGTAAGTGGAACGAGCCAGAAAATGCTACGCTGTGTCTTTTCATTTGGTATCTTTGCAATTTCGTAGACTATATATCTTCATACATATATAGAATGCATTAAGGTACTCGAGATTTTTCTGCCCGATTCAGTCTTTTTGGTAGCAGAATTCGCTACTTTGATAAGCTTAAAAATTTGTTTTTAGAAAATCTAGGAAAAGTAATAAAAGTAACAAAATAAATGAAAAACCTTCAACAAAATATATAATAATAGTTTTTTTTCTTATACTTAATAATAACTATAACATTTAAAGGAAGTGATTAACCATGAGTAACCTGCTAAATATATATAAATAAATTATTTGCTAGTGATTGAGTTTATTTGTTAACCCAATCAAATATCACTCACTAATTGCCTGAACTTAGAACTATAAAAAAATATTGATCTTCACATTTGTAATAAGCTTCCAAGGCATTATCCTATTGGTCTTAGCTTGTTAATTTCTTCTAAATGCCTGAATTATTTTACTCACCGCCCGAGCGCTCTGCAAAAATTAACATTTATCTACTAACATTCGCACCTTCAATTCGGTCACATGTGCGACTTTCCACGAAACGATATGCCAATGTGATCTAACTGAAGAAATTACCGAAGCTATCACCCTCATAACAAAGTTCTCATGAGCCATATGGATATTTCCGTTATTTATTTATTTTTACAGTACGATTTTAAGTACAATATATTCTTAAAAATATGAAAAATTCAGCTTAAATCAATAGATAAAATTTGTATTAAATTTTTTTTATAGTTTTTTTAATACTCAACATTTGTAAATGATTTTTTATAGTGCATTTTGTGAAAAGATAAGTTGAAAATATTTTTAAAACAATTAAAAATTAAAAAAAAAAAAAATTTTAATATCCAAATGATCGTAAACCAAGTGCAATATGAATATTTTTTAGCATAGGGCATGTTGAGAATCCCGCTAACCGACTCTTTCGATGAGGATGCACTTAAGAGAGCATTTTCAGCAGAGAGGGAGCAAAGAGCGGAACATCCAAAGAGCAGAGAACGAAGAGCAGGTTTTGGGGGCACGTTCGCTGGTTGATTTTCATTATTTTTTTTTTTCGTATTTCTTATCGCTGTTGTTGCTGTTGCTGTTTTGTTTGCTGGCTGCTGGGCGACAAGCCCCCGTGCATGACGTCACGTAAGCGAGACCGTTACAACAAATGCAAAACAAGTTGTGTGTGCGAAAGAGATAGTATGGGCCAAACGAAAGAGATAGCAGTGCATGCAACGTGACACGCAAAACGAACCACAAATAAAGAATAAATAAAAAAAAAATAATAATAATGCGAAGAGCATGTGACCAATTTGTCGGTGAATCGACTGCATCGATAAGACGCAGATATTGAGGCCCCCAACGATAAAATAGCCATCGAGGTGTGGAAAACGTGGGTCACAAGTGCGAAAATTCTCGTTCACCTGCTATATGCCATGATTTTAAAGGCTATATTTAGGCCCGAAAATACTCAGACCGATTCGCTAATGCACCTAACGCCTAACCTTGAACTTATATAGTATGTACGGGATATGCTTGCATAACATCCAGACATTTTGCATTTGCATATTTGCCGTGCACTCGATTAGATCCAATTCCGATTCCGATCCGGTCCGATTCACCTATCTATATAGTCGTCAGTCGTCGGCTAGCGTCTGGTCAGGTGCAGTAAACTGGAATTTTTAATCAGTCGGCTGTCGACTTGTATCGGCAGACCTGTAGTCAAAGCAGTTACGATATTGTCAGGTATGTCGGACTGGTTTGCCGGCCGTTCGCACTGCAATACTCTATAGGTTTTGGGGGATATATCTGTTAATAGGTTATATAGAAAAAATAACTAGAGATTTAAAACCACTTTTAAAATTTAGAGAATGTATGCTTTAAAAGATCAAACCATCAGACATACAAGCTAAACATTTGTATTTGATTTCTTAGCATACTTTTAGGCGGTCTCTAAAGTAATTTTAAACTTAAATATATAAATCACTAAGAAAATGTTAAGAAAAAAGAATGAACATTACTTTATAAACTGGTTTTTTGAAAATACTTCGATTTCAAATTAACCTTAAAAGCTTTAACCCAAACTTGTAAATTTAAACTTCAAGTCTCTGCAAAGTAGGACAAAACACTACCAATATTGATATATATTTCGTATTTTATAGCTTTATCATTCCGAATATAAGTAATTCTAGAAAAACTACAAATTCTACTACTTTTCAAGTTAACTCGCTCCAAGCTAGTGTTACGATCTTGTGCATACATTATATCGAATGCCCTAAGATCACTTGACTTAGGAACCCTTCAAGTAGCCAGACGGTCAACAGCTTCCGGGCCGCAAAGTCAGGTGAGCTTGGCTCAAATCGGCTGAGGTGGGCGCGTCATTGTCACGTTTCGTTTTCTCTGCGATCTGAAGGCAAAATACAATATATTGTGCAATTAAGTCGCTTGACGGCGGCGGGCTCAACTGTCGTTTTGCCTAATGCATATTAATGGGCCTATAAAACGAAGTCAAATACCGATTCGGCTGACTTGATTTTCCGATTTCCAGATTCCCAGACACACCCCTCTCCCTTAAACAGTACTGCTAAACGATTGCGATTGAACTCGAAGAATACTATATATATATATTTGTAGAGTGAGAACTTCGCAGATTTTTTGCAATGACGCAGTTCCCTTGGTGCGCATATTTTTTCCACTAACTGTACCGTGGGTATTCCATATTGATCTACCTAAATGAATCAATTAGCGAATATATTGGTATTTATTTAAATGAAAACCGCCTCCGGGCAGTAGTTTGATTGATTATGTATGAGCTGAGGGAAATGAAAATATAATTTCCATTCCTTGGGACACTTTATTTTTTCCACTGTGCCTAGGCCGAGCCCTCTAAAAGAGAATGAAATTTTCCATTGGTCGTAATTGTTTATTGACTTGATTGACTTTAACTTGCCACACAGACTTTTATTACGGCAAGGAAATCAAATCGTTGGTGTATGTAAATTGAAAATAGCGATGCCATTTGATTGAGTTGTATTTGGAGCTTTAAAACTTACGCAATCTAGGGCGCTTTAAATGACAAAAACAAACTAAGAACAAGTTTGTTGTGACGCCCGTCCGAGTGTCACTCGATTTTCTCGAAAAACACCTGTGTCAATGTACGAGCGATGCCGTAGGCGTAAAAGGTGAAATCCAAGCGATACGTTCCGGCGGGCACTGGCATATTGATCTTAGTAAAATCCAGAGCGAACTTCTCAACCGTCATATGGTTCTGGAAAGATAAGGGGTATAATATAGGGCAGGAAGTCAAAATGTAACTTGGGAACAGACAAAAAACTGTTTACTCAACCAAGCAAAACTTTTCATTTCTAAAAACAACAGTCAATTCTACATTTTTCAAATATTTTTGGAGTCTATAATTATAGAACCCATCAAGCGTTAAGTTTGGTCAAACCAGAATAACAACTCTTATCGATTGAATTTCATAATTATCATAATAATAACAAATATAGGGTGATATCCATAGACATAAACAACAAAAAATCATTATTAAGGTTAGTAAACAAGGATTCGAATTAAAGTTCTAATGAATACTGGAAGAGTATATGTGGTTACAACCTCTATACATAGTTACTAACTTCATAATTTTAATAAAAAACATTTTTTTGATTAACCCATCTTAGTCTCAAACTTACCTCCTTCCAAGGACAACTTTGGTTAAAGTTACTCTGCTTTCGGATTGCATCGAAAATAAAACGTTCGAAGGATAAATCATAATTGGTACTAGACATCAGTTTGCAGAAATCAAAGAGAACGTTGTACATAAATGGTCTATAGCCATCACGACGTTGAAAGCATTGCAATCTGGTGGTCAAATTACGGATAGGAAGTTGCAACAGGCTGACCTTGAGAGAAAGTTCCACCTGATTTCTGCGCACCACCTTCAACCGGCAGTACTCGTATTTGGTAAAGCCATGAGAAGTGGGTAGATCCATGCACTTGACATTGGTGAACTTCAAGAGACGAGTGGCCTTTAAAATTTATAATAAATAAAATTAAATAATAATGAAATATTTAAGTTAATATTTTACCATTGATTCCTGCAGTAAGACAGTCAGGAAAATTAAGAAAATAAGCGCATTCGAAAGCATTTGGAATGAAAGATACATTGGAACTGGTTTAGGACTATAAAAGTTCCTACTTATCAAAAACAACAGTCGCTATGATTAACCCCAAAAAAACCGCGATGAACGATATTATTCAAAATAATTATATTTCAAATTTAAAAACAATTAAAAAAGCATTTAGCATAAACAACGCAATATCTTTGAACTATAGTTTAACCCCATATACGCAGTAGTTCAAAGACCCAGGAAAAGAACAGTCAAGCAGTTTTTGTGGATAGAACGCATTTAAGCCCTTCGATTAGAGGCATAGTTCGTGACCAATGGCTATTGACCTCGACTTCAATTACACGAAATCATGAAATTCTTGGAAGTATGTTAACAATTTCCTGTCGTTGTGATCGTTTTTCGCTTACCCAAAAGTGCTAAAACCAGGGGAAATTGTAAAGCGATTTTCACACCAAAAAAAATCGAAAAAAAAATACATAATTCCTTGACTCACGCTAGGTGTACGATTCGCTTGTACTTCTTTAGTTGCTATATTTATTTCTCTATGGCTCAGCAGAATTCTTCGTTGCAACGGCAGCCAAAGCGGCGTATACGTGATGCCTAACAAGCCCCGACCAGCGACGACGACGCATTTACCTTAGCTGCTTGTTCTGTTGATTGTCATTTTGGTAGGTGTATTGTAAATTTCTGCCGACGCGATCGTATTTCGAAATGTCAACACCAACACCTGCACCTGGTATCCCAAGCGGCTCAGGTGATGCCAGTTACACGGCAAGAAAATAGGTTATGATAGGCTTGATTTTGGATTTTGAATATATATGGTTTGCCTTTTGAAAATCAGAAATAATTAATAATAATTTAATTATGTGACAAGGCATTTTACTTTATGTTGGGAATAGTACAAGATTCTTAATATATAATTTAAAATAAATTAAATTTCTCTCTCTGTGCCTATAATGAGCCACTGATTAAACCATTTTTGCATTGACTTGTCGAATTTCGGCGGTAGTTCTGAGAAAATTTTTTTATCGACAGTGAAAACCGATGCGTTCCCAATTTGGGCCGCCCAGTACAGTGACCTCTCCCACGAACAACAACCGAAATAACTGAAACGTAATGCAATGGTAAAGGGGATGGGGAAGGGATTCGCTGATTTGTGATTTACATTGCACTTATTTTTTATGTGTACCACCTTTTGTTGAATGAACGTTTTTGCCGATTTTGGTGTGAATATTTTCTGAATGAAGGCATTTCCGTTGGCCGCTAAAGAACATTCATATCGAATAACTGCAATTGGAGGATATATTGAATAGCTTTTCGCTTATAATCAATTCACAGGAAATCGGACCGGTGTCAAAGATTCATTTGCGTCACTGGCGCAGAGATTTGAAACCGTTTTTTACCATATTTAGCTAATTGTGGCTTAAAGTCGTCATTGACGCGTTTTGTCAAGAGCACTTGGGGATTTTCACTTATTGCACTTTCGTATAGTTCTATTTTTAAAGTGTCTTCCAAGTCAATTGAACTTTTCACCCTGCATCTCATTGATTCAATTAAGTCAATTTTGATAATACCTAGAAATATGAGAAAATATGACTATCCACCTGATGATGCACCAATCAAAATTGAATTTATTCAATACTAGAATTAAGTAGATATTGATCTTTAAAAAAGTAAATGTAATTGTGGGTTCATTTTTGATGTCCCTTGGAATGTAAACATTTCGTTTATATCGTTAAAAATAGCCAATTCTGACTCCATTTATCTCCTTATCTTTCCAAGATTCCTGCCTTCGCTGCCAGGCTGACAACAAGCGGGATGTGATGGGTCGCCAGGACTGTGTAGTGGTTTGGGGCGAATGCAACCACTCTTTCCACCACTGCTGCATGTCCTTGTGGGTCAAGCAGAACAATCGATGCCCTTTGTGCCAGCAAGAGTGGTCCATCCAACGGATGGGAAAATAAATCTCTCCACCTGAAATTACTTTATGCTGTATTAAAAAAAAAAATAGTAAATAAAGAAAAACCAAAAAAAAATTTTATATGCTCCGGGTAAGGTTTGAACTCATTTTTTTAAAAGTGGGATATAAAGTGTTATTTGACAAAAGAAGTATGCAATCAAAAAAAAAATAAAAAAATATTACATGCCCCGGGTGAGGCTCGAACTCACGACCTTAAGATTATGAGACTTACGCGCTGCCAACTGCGCCACCGAGGCTATGTGTGAAGGCTGGCTAACAACCAATTCAGCCCCCAAACGTTCTAGATCGAGAATAAATATTGTTCTTAACTCCCAAAAAAAGCATTAAAGGATTATTTAATACAATTTTAAAACAAATAAAAATGAGTGAAAGCATATTTACTCGTTTTGCAGTTGTAAAAACTCCACTTAGCTTGAATGAGTCATTGGAAAGCCGTCCTCCACCTGTCCCTTTGGCGCAGAGGATAGCGCGTTGGACTTCTAATCCAAAGGTCGCGGGTTCGATCCCCGCAAGGGATGAAATGTTGAGTTTCATTAAATTTTTTGCCGTATCTCATTTTTTTTATTGATAACAACATTCTAATATTGATAACATATTGGTAACTCTAGTTCTTGGGCTGCAACAAGGGGCAGAGATTACGTTCAAGTTCAGAACTACTGGGACTTAATTTCTCCACGTTGCCGGCATTAGTATCTTATTTTTTTTATTGAAAACAACTTTCTAATTTTGATAACACATAATGGTAAGTCTAGTTCTTGGGCTGCAGCGAGGGTGAGAGATTTCGTTCGAGTACAGGACTACTTAGTCTTAATTTCTCCACATTGGCGGCATTTGTGTTTAAGCTTTCTTCGGTCAAACGTTTGGCGCGCAGTTCTTGTATGGAAGCTGTGAATGTTTCAGTATATATTTTAGCAAGAAAATCTCTTTGGCTTTGGGTAACTTACGACTGTATGGGGTGTATTTATCAGATAGCATACTCTCCAGGTTATAGCCAATAAATCCAACAACTCCAGCTATGGGCAAAGTGATGTAAACGGCGTTACGCCTCAGCAGAGCCATTACAATGGGCCACATCTTGGTTTTAGTGCTTGTCTTTACTTAATATCAGTAATTTAAAGACAAAAACACGAAATAAACGGCGTGCAGAATTATAAAATCAGCCGACAGCTGATTGGGCTGCCAGATCGCTGGAATAAGTTGAGAAACCAGTTCAAAAAACCGTTCTAATAAAATTTTAATTACAATTACAAAACTAGTCAACTGTTTTAAGAAATGTTTATAAAGTTATAGTTCTTAAGTCAAACTTGGTGTAAAGAACATGTAAGCTTATTGCTTATTTCTCCACCCCTGAATCAAGTATGCTATCACACTATCGGCTGATTGCGCCGAACTCAATGTCATTTTTTTGCTAGCACCAAACGGTCATACATTAATTTTTTGTGTTTTTGTGCTCTCTCTTTTCGTCGGTAGTGCAATATTGCAATACAAATTACATAAAAACGGGAAAAATTCAGGCGAAACTAGAAGATTGCGGTGAACGGGCAAGCGGATACTTGCACAAAGGGAACGGCGAAAAAGATGCAAGAACGGGAAAAACGTATTTACGCATTACGCAGCGAGTCGTTGATTTGCCGTTTTTTTTTGTTTTTATAATGCCCAATATCGGGGTAGCTGCACCAAATGCAGTTAACAACAGATCTCTTGTGATGTAGGCAAAAAAAAATAAAAATTAAAGAAAGAAATAAATAAATAATATCAGAAAACAACAACCATTACTCTCTACGCAATAACAAAAAAAAAAGCAGCAGCAGTAACTACAACAACAACACCGTCGGCGACTAAGTGCAATCAACAATTACAACGCAATCAGAACAAAGAACTACCAGCAGCAGCAAAAACAACAAACGGTGGACAGAACAGACAAGAGAAAGAGTAAGAGGAAGAAGAACAACAAAAGCAGCAGACGACGCATAATTTCCTGCTCACACACACACACACACACAAACGCGCGCGAACGTCCGCGGGCACAAAGAGAGCGGGACAACAAAGAATATCAAAGAGTGTGGGAGAGTAAGAAGCAGAGGAGCTAGCGAAAGGGAAAGGAAAAACTGCAGGGGAGCAGCAACTGCATTTCTGGATTCGGATCTGGATCTTTGGATATATCCACGCGTAAAATGACCAATTCGGGACGCAATCATCATCGATTCGATGTAAGTTAGCCAATAAGATTTTGTTATAATTCTCAAATCTCTAAAAGTTATAAAATATGGTAAATTAATCAAAATCGTATTATCTATGAAAGATTTCTGAATCTTATGTATCTAAGAGATATCAAAATATGATATATGTATGTTAAAGAAATAGAACAAATTGTTTTTTAAGCATTTTCGTCGTAGTTCAGTAAAAAATGGTTTGGAATTTTTAAATTTGAAACGTTTAAAAAAAGGGTATTATCTTTTTAAAAAGTTTCCATGACTCGCTAGGTTTTAAGTATTTATGTGACTTATTATTGCACTTGAAAGTTCTTTTATGGCTTCTAAACTCTAAATATGTTTAGAGAATTATAGACGAAGAATTCGTTAAAAATTTATGAATTAATGACCTCTCTTACTAAAAATTCCATTTCCTTATCGTGACAATTTTCATTTTCAATCCAAAGCCCCCAGAAATCTCGAAAGGTTTTCAAGTGATAGATAAGCAATCTGAAAGTGGACCGTAAGTTTTTTTTTATTACGGACAGCCTCTATATATTTCATGGTTATTACTTCACCTTCTAAATATTGATTCAATAAATCATTTATTGAATAAATGATTTTAGGATTGATGGATTCTCAAAGACATATCCAAAACTGGGCTTTATCTATATGAATCAGTTTTTAAGATATTAAGTTTAAGTTTTTGTTAGCTTGAGGGCATTTCCTTCCCCCTCTACCAAGCTCAAGACGCGCTGTTGCTCTTTTGTTTGTTTGCCTGTCCAGACAGTTAGTCAGTCACTTCCATTTCAACGGCTCCACCCCCCAAAACCCTAACTACTAAAATAGACTGCATCTCGTTTATTTTTATGGCAAAGCGAGTTCTTTGTCCTTCGTTTGAAGTCAGGAATAAGGAATCCGAAGAGAGGAAGGACAGGAGTCATCGCCTTTGTCGGAGCGACGGGGAGTTTGCCCAGCTTGTAAAAGTGTAAGTGGCTAATGCCTCACCCTCCTTCAAAAACAACAAAAATTATATCTGTATATATATGTTTGTCTTGCGACAAAAGTGCAATAAACTCGCTGACAACACACCCCCAAGGTTTAACCCCCCAAAGCCCCCATACACATCGAAACTTGGGTAATGACCAGTTGCAAAGTGAGGACTTCTGACAAATTGGAAATTCTTCGCCAAGTGCAATGTGGACACACAATGCCAAGTAAATAAGCAAACAGAGAAGAAGCTCATGACCGGAATTTACCAATTTGTTAGACACTGAAAGGAATATATTTTACTTGTCTCGAATCATTTTTATTTCATTTTTATTTAAATTTAAGGTTTTTAATTCTGTTATAAAAATATTTTCAAATTAAATTTTAAAAATATATCTAAAACACATAACTTTCTCAGTTTATAAAAGTTTCTTTCCGTGTACTTGCTTTAATTGCTGTAAAGGAAAAAGAGAGAGGGGTAATGGAAATGAAGACTCATTTTAATTGCGTTCTCCTATGCTTTAATCGCACCGAATTGCTTATTTATTTTGTGGGCTTTACCGACTGTCCATTCTTGGTATTCGGTATTTAGAGTACTTAACTTATCTAGAGAACCAACGCAAAAACCAATAACAAACGAAAGTAAACAGATTGCCCGATAAACAGCTGACGGGCATTATACCGCAAAGTCTGGCAGCATTGCAACCCTTGCAGATTTACCAACTTAAAGAGAGAAAGAGGGGGGGAGAGGAATCTGTTGATAAAGTGAGAGATAGTCCCTTGGAATTTACAGTTATTGATACCCTATAAGAGGATTTATACGTTTTTAATTTATAATAGGAAGGGCTTTTTTAACTTTATCATAAACGGTTCACTGTTCTTCAAATATTTCTTATTTTTTTCCATTAAATATGAACTTTAAGTAACATTCCGTAGACTTTGCTTGGTTTTGTGTTAATTTTCAGTCTGACCCCGCCGAAAAGGTTCAAGTACTTGGGCAAGGGCATCAACAGTTCTTTAGTTTTGTTTGGACAGTGTCTCTTCTTATTGTGCACTCTCTCTTTCGGTTTAAGACTTGCTCTCATTGAGATTTTCATAGCTGGGTTTTTTGTTGTTGCGTCGACCTTTGTGTGGGTGCATTGGCCCGCCTCCTCATTTCATTTTTCGCGAGAGAAAAACAGAGAGAGAGAAAATAGAGTGAGAGTGCTTCTGGTGGGACAGCTGTTTCTTGAGCTTCGGCTGCGTTGCGTGTTTGATTCTCCACTCAGTTCTCATTCTGCGCTCTGTTGTCATCGATGTTGTCTCGCGAAAATTGCAGCTCGCCTTCGTTTTTCGTGACTCGCGTTTTCTGCATTTACACGATTTTCCTTGCAGCTGGGGGAATATCGAAAAGAAAATCCATTTCACGAGAGTCCAGCTGAAAATATAAACAAATGGTAGGGCAAATTGTCTATCAAATTTGTCTGTAAAATAACTAAAAGTGTGTGTTTTCTTGTGCTGTTTGTGATGGCATTTCCAACTGTTATTGGGCTTTTCCGCCTGATTTTCCTTACCAGTGTCAGTGTGTGTGTGTGTGTGTTGTCAGCTGTTTTTTGTGTATATATTCTTTAACTGCTTAAAGTTTTAGTTTTTGATAAAGTTTTTTAAAGATATTCTTGTTTTGGAAAGTCTATATTTATCGACAGAAGAAAAACTCAATGAGTGCAACCCAATTTGGATGCTGACCCAGTTTTCCCTATTCGCTGACCTTGCTTACATGCATGTATATAGCTTCTATACTATATATTTGCATGTATATATACCGTGAATATATAGAACGGAAGCATGATTGTCTGTCAGTGCTATCAACTCTCAACTTTTTGTGGGCCAGCTGACCCGGCCATGGCTTATATAAAATGCAGCCCAGATTTGTTGTCATGTGGGCTGCTATATAACATGTATATATAAACATATATATATATATTTGATATGCATTAATTCCTCTTTTTTTCGTTCGAGGTCACTTGGAAAGTAAATGCCCGACTGGGAATTTGTAATTTGTTTACTTTTTTCCACACGCACCAACCGCCCACTTTTGTTCTTATTGTTGTTGTTGTTTCTGTTTTCCACTTCCTTTTTGTCAGCTGTTTTAGTTTAGTTACGTATACGCCATGTGTTGCATGATCAAATAAATAATAAACTATGCAAAAACGCAGCAATCAAGCGAAATGCCTTGCACTTGTCGCTTCCATCACTTAAAACGAATTGAGTTGGAAACTATTTTGGATCTCAACTGCACTTGAATTAGCATAAGTACGTGCGAAAGATATACCGCCTTGGATTTAGTAGTGGGTGGAATTTAAATGGTTTATAAGCGCATATTTGCAGAGTAATTCGATGGATTGTAGGTTGAGGTAGAACATTCATAGAAAGATAAGTAGAAGTTATGAATAAGAACTTCACAAAAACGGGTGTTACATTCATATTATTTAGACTTTTTAGAAGAAGTGCACATATTATGTTACATAAAGCCTTAAAATTTTTTAAAATACAATAACTATTTCAACCTTCCCTGTACTTTGAGTTCCCATTGTTCGTTCTGATTGAATTCAGGCCACTTTAAGTGTTTTTCTCCTAAATTGATAACACGTTTGTTTGTCATCTTTAGATGGTCTAATTGAATATGAGCATATGAATATTCCCCATATAGATTTATTCTCAACTCCCATTGTTGTTAAAGATCTGCAGCTCGCAATCAATAATTTATTGGACCTTCAAATCGCTTTATTTGAATCTCATACATATGAATGCCTTTTTTACAATTGTGGAAACAGCAATTTTATAACCGACATGTATTGTGTGTTCATAGTGCTTCTGTAATTGTTGTGTCATTTTACAGTACTTTTGACAAAGAAAGGAATGTGTATTGTTAAGTTAAATGTGTGTATACTCTGCTGGGGGGTTTTTTTTAGGTGTACTCGTATAATAGGGCTGTAGGGAGTTGTTTGGATTTAAAACAAAGGTATATTTGATCTTTTAGGATTTAACTTATATATTGTAGTAGCCAAAATGAGTTTGATTGGTTAAAATCTTAAATTCTTAATTTAATCTTCAAACAAGTTTTAAAACTCTTCAACTATGGAATATACCCTTCCCTTTTTTTAAAGTATTTTCTTCAGTTATCAATTGAATCTTTTGTTATTGTCATTATTATTTATACAGTCTTATTTCTTGTTCGCGCTTCGCTCAAATTCGTCACACGTTCGATCGATTGCCTTTTTTAAATTGCCTTTGATGACTTTTCATTTAAGTTGAATGCCACAAAGGGGGTTGGGGGCTTGAGTAGAAGAAGAAGGCGGCCCCCTCCGAAGAGCTTAAAGTTGGGTGCGCATTTCAATTAAAGCACGACCGCCCGCCCAACCTTGATGTCCGAATATTTGTATTTCTTCTTTTTCATTTTTGGTTTTGAGTCTCGTAATAAATTCCACTGTTGTTCTATTTTTTCCACGACGTTTATGGTTTTTATGTTTGGGAAATATCAACCAGTTCCTGTTGCAGTAAGTAAGTGATTTAAAAATAATAAAAATCAAAAACAAGCCGAGGCCAAAAAAAGAAGCCGGGAGCAACGTATTGGAGACGCAATTTGTGAATAATTTAATCGAGCGTTCACACGGCGCCAGCTGCTCAAAAATAAAAAATACAAAAAAAAAAAAAAGGAAAATAAGAGAGTGCTGAAGAGTTAATTGAATCGGCAGAGGCGCAGATAAGAAAACTGAGAATGTTTGCCAGCAACGCCGAGACAGGCGTCAACGACGTCGGTAGCAGCAACAATGGTGGCAGCAGCAGCAACAACAGTGGCGGCGGTCCTAGCGGCAGCATTGAGCTGCTGTGCCCGCCCAGCGGCAGCAGCAGCATCAGTGGTAGCGCCAGTTTTAGCAGCAACAGCGGTGCCAGCGGCAGTAGCAGTCAAACGCACAGTACTGCCGTCAGTAGTGCCACAGATCGCAGCACCAGCAGCAGCAGCAGTAACATCAACCACACCAACAACAACAACAATCACAATCCGAGCTTACAACTGAATGGTAATGCCAATAGCAATATCAGGCAACATAGCAACAGCAACACCAGACAGAACAGCAGCAATATTAGACTGCATAGCAGCAATAATAGCAACAGCAGCAGCAACAGTAACTCCAGCAACAGCAGCAACATAAGCCCTCCCAACAGCAACAACAATAACAATCACAGCAGCAATATCATAAGCGGTTTTTGCAGCACCATTTGGCGTTCAGCAACATTTGGCAGTGCCACACCTGTTATTAACCCATTACCAGCTGTACACATTAACCCCAAGGGCATGGAAAGCAGCAGTGATAGTTGCTCATTGAGCTCATCGATAACGCCAGAGGTTTGCCTGGGGGATCAGCCAACGACTGTGGCCATCAGCACTCAAGATCAGCCAGAGGATCAGTCCGTAAGAAAAAACAAAAACCAAAAAAGAAAAACCCATACAAAAAAAGAAGATAAAAAACCGAAAAAAAGCTAAAAACCATTACAAAAATTTGTCAATCGTTACCACCTCCGATTTTCCCCACTTCAGCGGTCGTATATAATATCATCTTGATCCAGCATTTTGTACATATTGCTCAAGAAACCCTCGCAAAAACCACCCTCTGTCTCTATCTAACGCTCTCTCCTCCTCTCTTTCTCTCGTCGCTCGTTATGATTCTTCCATTAATTAATTTGTTTTCATCCGGAATTCAATTTAATTTATTGGTTTTCATGAATGCTCTTTTTTTAATTTTTGGGCCACTTGAGAGTAATCAGTCAGTTGATTTTGTTTAGCCATCCATACATCTCCCCCGAAATTGGGAAAAACTTCATAGCCATAAGATTACTTTTTGAAATGCCATCACTCATCCGCCATGTTGGTCCGTTTTACAGCAAACATTCCTAGGCGCCACCGAACTGGACGATGAGTTAATCAAACAACTGCCAAAGGAGGTACTGCTGCGAGTTTTCTCCTACCTGGATGTTGTCTCACTATGCCGCTGTGCACAGGTAAATGAACTTCTATATGTTAAACGCCCATATTCTGGGTGTCCGTTCAGGCTTTTCCTTAACTAATGAATTTTTCATGCTACACAGGTATGCAAATATTGGAACGTGCTGGCCCTCGACGGTTCCAGCTGGCAGAAAATCAATCTATTCGACTTTCAACGTGATATCGAGGTGAGCTTTGGGGCATCTAACTAATGGTTAACGAAAGCCACGCGCAGCTTCCAGAATCTTAATTTTATACATATTTGAGTTAGGGAATAAGGTTCTGTAAGGAAGTTTAGGGTTTCATATTGTAATTTCAACAAAATATATTTGAAGTCTAGACTGCAATAAGCTTAGAACGAGATATATGGTTCTTTGTGTTTAGTAAAGATAAAATCTATTAGCACAGCTCTAATAACTAATCAACTTTATACTAACTAAATGTTTATATCAATATTTATTGAAAACAGGGTCCAGTGATTGAGAATATATCGCAGCGATGTCGCGGTTTCCTCAAGTCACTGTCGCTGCGTGGCTGCCAATCGGTGGGAGATCAGTCCGTAAGGTAAGTAACTACTCCTAACTGCTCTATAAAACCAATAATAAATGATAAATGTAATATTTCAGAACTCTAGCGAATCACTGCCACAATATCGAACACTTAGATCTGTCCGAATGCAAGAAGATAACCGATATATCCACACAGTCCATCAGCAGGTATTGCTCCAAATTAACGGCCATTAATTTGGACTCGTGCTCCAACATAACAGACAACAGCTTGAAGTATCTATCCGATGGCTGTCCAGTAGGTTTTAATATGAATTAATCCCATTAGCATAATACTTTATTCGGGGTTGTAACCGCAGAACCTCATGGAGATCAACGTGTCCTGGTGCAACCTGATCTCTGAGAATGGCGTGGAGGCGCTGGCTCGCGGCTGCGTCAAGCTCCGCAAGTTTAGCAGTAAAGGTTGTAAACAGATTAACGACAATGCCATAATGTGCCTGGCCAAATACTGTCCCGATTTAATGGTGCTAAATCTACACAGCTGTGAGGTGAGTATAAATAACTTCTTAGATATAGATTTTATAATCAAGATTTGTTTTTGTTTAGACCATAAGCGATTCATCGATCCGCCAACTGGCTGCCAATTGCCACAAGCTGCAAAAGTTGTGCGTGTCCAAGTGTGCGGACCTTACCGATCTCACGCTGTTGTCCCTCTCGCAGCATAATCACCTGCTGAACACCCTGGAGGTGTCTGGGTGTCGCAATTTCACGGACATCGGCTTCCAGGCGCTGGGGCGAAACTGTAAATATCTGGAGAGAATGGACCTGGAGGAGTGTAGCCAGATAACAGATTTAACGCTGGCCCATCTTGCCACCGGTTGTCCCAGCTTGGAGAAATTAGTAGGATTGATTTCCTTGATAACTGAAAATTATCTAATTTCTTGGCTCCCCAATAGACCCTTTCGCATTGTGAGCTGATCACGGATGATGGTATTAGACACCTTACTACTGGCAGCTGTGCTGCTGAAATTCTGTCTGTGTTGGAGCTGGACAACTGCCCTTTGATCACGGACCGAACGCTAGAGCATTTGGTGTCCTGCCACAATCTGCAGCGCATTGAGTTATTCGACTGTCAGCTTATCACCCGCACCGCCATACGCAAGCTGAAGGTAATAATTATTAGATTGTATTAATTACAGAGATTTAATAATTATTATGATTGCAGAATCATCTACCAAATATCAAGGTGCACGCCTACTTTGCACCCGGAACCCCGCCAGCTGTGACCAGCGGCCACCGACCACGCTATTGCCGCTGCTGTGAGATTCTCTGAGATACGGCCATTGGCTTCGCCAGAAAGATAATGCGAAAGACGGCCACGGACTGATGCTGGCCCGTGTGCATCGTCATGTTCGCCATGGTGTTCAGCCTGACTCTCGTCTCGATGATCTGCATGTATTTGCTGGGCCTGCTTGACGCAGTGATGACAACATAGTCACTAAATCTGTAGCAGCAGCAACAGCAGCAGCGGCTTGAAACGAAAACGGAAACGGAAACGTAACCCTAGTTTTAGTTTAAAGCGAGTTTCAAAAACTCGCAGAAAACCAGCATCAAATTGTGATTATTTTATTTAATATGCTACGTTAACTAGACCCTCATTTGTGTAAAACTGTATTAGCCCCAGACCACGCTCTATGTTTGTTATTAACTGCAGCCCGATGAATTGCTAGCTTATATAGATCTGTATATATATATACATACATATATACATATATATGTAGACGATCCAGCTTCAGGTGGTTCCGCTGAATGTTCTGTGTCTAGCGCTTAGAAACTGCAATTATGTGCGTTTAGTTTTAACTCTCATACAAGCATGCCTGTATTAAATGTTTGCTAAATTATGACTAAATTATTTAAATCCATCTGGAGCATGCTCGGATTTTATCTCTTACTGGTTCACACCTAAAACTAAAAACTATAAAAAAAACGAAAGAAAAACCTGGAGTTTTCTAAATTCCAAAACATGTCGATAGAACCACAAAGCGTTCAAAAATAAAACACACACACACACACACACTATATGCGAGTTATGATTAATTTCCGATTTAAAACCACACAAGTCTAGTGCCAGCTAAAACTGTTCAGCAAGTTAGCATTATCTAATGTATAGCCATGTATATTACACAACGAACAAACGACTCATCTTCCCTGAAAACACACACAAAACAACAGTACCCACATAAATAATTCAATAAAACTATATATGTACACCCGTCTGGACTCCCACAGATATTTATACAGTCTATTTTGTAATGTATTATCCAAGGAGAAAGTTAAACAATGTATAGAAAGGGGCAGGAAGGTGTTATCGTAAACCCTCGCGATAAGCTCACAGTTTGGGCCCACACTACTACTAAGTAGATAATATAGGATTTTCCACAACTGAAAGGTTTCCCCTCTTTCTATCCAACAGAACTACATAATTATCCCAAATCTCGAGAGATCGAACCGAACCCAAGTTGTGAGCTTGGGGACTAGGATAAACGATGGCGTGACAATAACATGGCCACGACCGCCCCTCTTAACCCAATACCCCCCACAGTTAACCCCTCGACTCACACAGATAAGCACAATAAAACGCAAAACGATACCAGATGAGATATTTTCCTGATTCTTTTTATTCTCTGTCTAAAAGTTAAGCTAAGCAAATGGTGTCATACAAACATACAACCTACCATATATTTTCCTAGAAAGAAAAACCAAAAAAAAAAGTCAAAATCATATTTACACAAAAATATAAAAAAAAAAAAAATGCAAAATGATACAAAAACAAGAGTTGTAAGTTGCGTATTTTAACGGATCTTTCTGTCTGTCTCTTGTAGTGCGTTTGAACTTTGTTTAAAAAACTGTTTAACAAGAAATCAACTAAAAAATCACAACTGATATGTATTAATTAGAATTAGAGTTGAACAAAAAAAAATGTAAAAAAAAAAAAAAATATATATACATGGAAAATTGCCGTAAAGTGCAATCAAGTTCCGTACCACACAAAAAATAACTTTTGGTTCAATAAAATTTACATCTAAAAAGGAGAATTAAATATTATATACACCTCTATATATATATATGTATTACGTAAAGGCTTTACAATGCAGACTAATATATTTACATCATATGTACGTGTGTAGTTTTGCAAACAAAAAGTAATAACAAAAATGAAACACTCGAAAATTAACCCAAAATTAATATGGCAAACAAAAAAAAAAATGACATTTTAAACTGAGAAACGTTTAACATAAATAATATTTTAAATATCAAAGGGTTTATGTGTTTTATTTTATTTAAATTTCTTAAGTTATGCATTTTCATTTATGCACTTTTTAACATGATTTATTCGGAGGTTAAACCATATAAGGGGTAAATCTCTAGTTTACAAACAGTTACTTTAATTTCTATATCTAGGCTAGAATAAAAAAAGATTTATGTTTAAAAGATTTTTTTAGCAATATATTTTTCTATATGTAATATGGGCATATTAAAAAACGAATAAAATTAAAATCACTCCCGTGTCATAGACCTTTAACTGGGTACCTCGATAAGATTTTCACCATACTAGGATACGGGCACACTGACCCGCCCACAGCTGGTCTGGTCTCACAGTCTCACCTCACAGTTGTTTTGTTGGGAAAAAAATAAACAATAATTTTAGCTGGTTGTTGTGCGCGAACCAAAAGTGGAAATTATGCGAATCTTGACAGCGAATGGGCAACGCGATGCTGGCATTGAAAGTGTAGGCGCGTCCTTTTCCGATTTTCCATCTTATCGGCATTTGTGCACCTGTGTTGGCATTTCCACCGATTTTTTCGCCTGTGGAGCTGCAATGGCGTCCAAGTTGAGAACGATCAATTTCGCTAAATAGAAAGAGCAATCAAGGATAAAGAGCGGTGTGTATAGAGAGAGGAGAGCGAAGAGCAGAGAGCGGTACGTGGGTGCAAGGCGAAAATAGCGAAAAAGAACCGTTTTACCCGTCAGAGAAGAGTTCATAAATGGCGAATAAGAGTGCGAAAATGCAATGAAAAGGGGCATACTGTGGGTTATATAAAAAATATATAATATATTTCAAGTGCCACAAAATGCAAGCGTTGCAAAAATCGAAAATAAATCAATGATATAGACGCAAAATCCAGAAATAGAAGAAGCAGCAGTAGCACAGCTGAGTGCGTGTGTGTGAGCGCTGTTTGCTTGCAAGTGTGTGTGCCTGTGTGTTGTGTGTGCAAGTGAAATCAATATTTGCAGCCAAAAAAAATAAATAGAAACTGCAATAATGTCAAAAAATCAAGTAAAGGCAACAAATTAGCACGGCCATAAGATTCGGCTACACTGAGCGAAAATCGTGCCTTTCAACGGATCTTCAGCTGCAAAGCGAAGGTAAGTCGGCCATTTTTATTGCATTCTCCTCGTGTCATTCTTTCCTTTCTGACTAATACATAATAAAAACAAGACCACAAATTGTGCTTAATTGCCTTGAACTTTATGCGGGGACTATAATATTTCATCAGTTTAAATGGAGTCTTTCGTTAGAAAATGGCGTTTTTAAGAGAAGCTTAAAACTGGAAATGCGGGACTTGTGTAAACAAAGTAGACATAATATACAGTTCGATACACTATGAAAAAGTATGTTATATTTAGAAAATAGCATAAAATAGTCTTTAGGCGGGCAATGTTTATGCAGACATATGGAAAGAAAAAAGAATAATATTTCAATTGTTTACCTACTAATGTTACTTTTTAGAAAACCTAACTTATTCACTTGTTTTTAAAAAAGCTCAGCTAAGCTTGACCTTTCTAATGCTTTTCGTCAGTGCATTTGTGCGTCCTCATGTGTTTGTAAAGTCTTCGTTGATTCTCTTTATGGTCAAAGTAAATGATTTCAATTCACGTTCCACTGCCTTTGCTTCAATATTTATTTTCTGTCTCTTTCTTTCCCTACTTTCCCCTACTCCTTCGCTCCGATGTCTCTCATAATCAGCTGTGTCATTTGTGTGTGTGTGTGTGTAACAGAGAGAGCAGACAAAGAAACGGTTAGCGTCGACTTTGCTGTATCCTTGAATTCGTCTCGTTTCGCTTTGTTTCCTATTCCTTTTTTTGCGCAGAAGAAACAGACAACAAAGGAAATCACATTAAAAACGGTTGACAGTTTGAGTTTTCCTCCTCATCCATATTGATTTAATATTTGCATTGATTTGTTTAAGTGATAGCCAAAAGCGGACTGCTTACATAAGCAATTAGCTGCTGGGATTTTGCTGCCAAGTGCGCATTATGTACATCCGCAAAATCTTGGCAGACGGGTTAAAGATGTTGCACTGTAAGCGGACTAACGGTTGTCGGCGCCCTGTCATTTCCTTCTCATTCGTTGGCGGCCATATTAAGCTTTCAGATCAAAGGCATTGTGAAATGAAGAAGAGAAATGGTGGAAGATTAGGCACCCTGTAAAATGTAAATGTAAATTTTATTAATCAGAGCTTAGATTTTATAACGCAAGAGACATTTATATTTATGTATGTTTACCCCGATTAAAATACCATTTATGATATATGTATGTATGTATCATAATCTTCTTTCTATAAAAATTTTAGTTTAAAAAAACTCATAACATTGTCATGAAAAAAAATTTGCTTTGGAAAAGATCATGGTAAAATCCCTTGAATTTCATACTACTGATTAACAAAGAAAAAATTATCCTCAAGACCCGCATTTGCGAGAATCTAAAATACAATGAATGAGTGTAGTGCATTTTTCATTCATATAGTGCAAAATTAATCATAATTTCACAATAATCTGGATATACTGCAAAGCATTCATCCTATAAAATATGATTCCCCCGGAAATAACCATGTATTTCACCACTCTGTCGGTTTTGTGTTTTTTTTTTTCAAATTAAATATGTTAGCAAATAAGCAAACTCGCCCAAGGGAAGGACAAAAGTAAAGTCCCCTGCGTGTCTGGGCGTTTTTATGGTTTTCCATGCTGTTAATGGAAGCCATAAGTGTTATATTGTAGTGCCCTGTACTCCACCTCCGCGCCACTCTCGGGTTGAACTTTCGCCGATAAGAATAAAAATACGAAAAAAAAGAAGCAAAACCTAGGAAAACTGCAGGGCTTATCTCGAAGTCACCGAAACCTCAATTCGTTGTTTGCTTTTCTGTTTTGTAACTCCTTTCAATGTTTCATTTATTGCTATTTATTATTATATATTTACGGTATGTGGTTATGCGGCAGCCTGAGATAACCCGTTCCGAAAAACGAAACTGGGACCCCTGATAAGGTCTATCTCAATATTTCCAGTTCCCTGGGGTTATTGCATTACGATTCAGGGTCGTATATCACATTAGGTCTTCAGCTGATAACCAAAGAACAGCAAGAAAGGTTGATACGCTTTAATGCTCCTTTGTTAAGTTTGCTCGCTTCTTTAAATGAATTTTAATGAACATATCCTGGTTCTCTTTCTGGGGGCGTTCATATCATCTGTATCATAAAAACACACAAAAAAATATTTGTTTTGATAGTCATGAAAAAGATATTTTACTATGACTGTGTTCAGTTCTGGAAATATTTCTTAAGATAATATTTAATAGATTAAAAAGAAGACGGTAGGGTCTAAATAAATGAAAATGATCATAAACATTATTCTTCGTAAATTACCCTTAAAAGAAAATCTTTAAAAGAAATATTGTTCAATCCAGTTTATAAATCTGTGTTAGTATTAATATATTTATATTATTGTGTTAAAAAAAAATAATATCTGTCACAAAGATTACTATTTGTCTAAATCTTTAGAGACTCGTAGAACTTGTTCTGTATTTGTATTAGATCATGTTTTAGCGGCTTATTCATACTACGCATTAAAAGCAGGGTTCAAGAAACCATAAAATATCTTAAGGATAAAAATCAAATTGCATTAAATAAAGAACATTACTCAGCAAACCTATTGTTTGAGAATTATAGAACCTGTTCCTGGATATTATAACGCTACTTTTCGCGTGATTTCTTTGCCGGACTCCTCTCTACTACGCATTATAGGTATTCTTGAAATTCGCTTGAAGAGAATCAAGAAGAGGGGGAGATGTCCAGCAAGTGAGAGTGGGAAGAAGAGCGTGCAATAGAGAGAGAGAGTGGCTAACGCTCAGTGACCCCAACTTTTCAGCCGTTGACTTTTTCCGTTCCCATTCCGTTGTTTATGTATTTGTTGTTGTTGTTGTTGCTACTGCTGCTCCTTGCCCACTTTTGCGTTTTATTTTACGTTATTTTGTTTGTCGGGTTGAATGACTTTGGGATAACAACAACAACAATAGCAACATGTGCCAGCCAGCAAAAATTAAAAAGTAACAACATTTTTTGGGGGGCAGTCTTTCTCGCACTCTCTCTCTCTCAACAATACAAAAACAAAGAGAGTAAGAGAGCGATGTAAAGGCAACGAACCCACCAAAATTTTCAACAGCTGATGGGTTTTTGGGAGGTTTTACATCAAGAGGTTTCCTTAGGGGGTGGGCATATACTACATACATATATATGTATGAAGTCGTCTCGTCTGGGAATCACAGCTCATTCCTTCGAAATTTCTGATTTTGTGTTTAGAATAAAAGCCCTTATATCCGATGAGGGTTGCTATATAGCTGAAAGAGGGGTAGAAAGTAGTCGGGAGGGGATAAACAACATTGTTTTGATTGATATTCGTGCAATGGCTTTGATGGAATTTGCATTTCTTTCAATTCGCTACTTTATCGCTTCAATCAAAGCAAACAAAATAAAATATATGGAAAAGAAATAAAACCAAAAAAATCATGTTCTATATGAAATTCTCTAAATTGCTAACAAAAGCTCTTTGTTTAGATTTTTGTGTTCTTTTTTGTTGTTTTTGCTTTGCCGATTTTACAAAAATAAACAGCATGTAGTCATCACATGATTTTGGGATTGGTAAGCAGAGTTTTCGGGGCAACAACGGGCTCTTGAGTAGTTCCCATTTTTGTAAATATTCTATATTCCAAAGATATCTAATTGCGTCATGACACGCTTCTTACTACATGGCTCAAAAATAGGAGTTTTAATACATCATTTTAATAGAAGGGATTAAACAAATAGATTACGTTGAATGCGATTTAATGGGATTTTAAAAGGGAGTTTATATCTAGGTAATAATAAGTTCTTATCTGATAATTCTTGGCAATATCAGCCATTTCAGTCTTATTTATAGTTATGTTAACAGTCCTTGATATAGCATGATGAAATTACTATATATTTTTGTTTAGTAAGTGGGTGGTATATCTGAACAAATACCAACTCCCTATCTCGACAAGGCAATTAACTATAACTAACTTCTATTGATAGCCTTCAATTATTCAGAGGGGCTTATTATTCAAAATGTCTGCCTGCTATCTGAAGTAGATTATCAAAGTGCTGGGTCATCGGCCATCTAAATAACATATACTGATATATATATATATTTTTGGAACACCTCTTCACCCTTTTTTCCAATCACCTCCCACAATCACCAACCAATATGGCCGCCACACTTGGCTTTGATGTCACAGCTGTCTGCGCTCTCAACCTTAAACTTTCTGCTTTTCCGTGGAAAGCTCATTACAGTGGCACCTCGTTTACCAGTTTTCTTCTCCTTAGTCCCAACATTCTTTTCTTCCCCTCCTGCTTTCCATGCCCACCTGACGACGAGTCAATCACAGTCACGTGTGGGCCAAATTACAAGAACAGCTGTGTTGGTGTGCCGGAAAACACGAAGGAAAAACACACGGCAGACACAAAGAGCTAAAATAATCAGAAAGTTGACAGTGCCAAGGGTTGAACAGTGGGCATTGGCTAAAAAGAACTCTAAAGTATAAATTCTTCTATATCTTGAATATATATTAAAATTCTTGGGCTAACGCCTTTCTGCGACCTCAAATCTTTATAAATTCCTTAGCTCTGCCTTTTCGCTGACGCATGCCATTCACAGCCAATATTTACTGTACCATGCACACGCGTTACATGAGCTGTGCCCCCAGCCGTTCGTTCTTGTGTAAGCGTTTCGTCTGCCTTGAGTCTATATTTGCCCGCAATCAATCCAAGGTTTTTCCAAGGGTCTCAAAAACTCGAAACTTTTCAACTGCGTTCTTTGCAATCCCGCAATTGCTGTTGCGGCAAAACGCTCTATAATTTATAAGTTATGGTAAACAAACAAACACATGTGGACTTTTCCTTAAGATTGAAACAAAGTATAAAAATGTATAATGAAATGCAGTAAAAGATTCAGCAAGTACAGTAATCACTCGTTGTATTAACCTTTAAGTTTCAATAATGAACACACATTTTTATCTCTTTTATTTAATAATTTAAATTTATTATTATTATTTTTAATCTAAATGATTAATTAATTT